ATTCTGGGAGTTGAAGTCCACACATCTTCAAGTGGCCCAGGTTAAGAAACACTGTTCTAGTCCTTATGGAGGCAAAATCCAGACGGGCCATTCTTGTTTCTCCTTGGGGCACCAACTTTTCAAAGCTAAACTTCTGGTTACCATGCCGTGCCCCATGGGTTTAGGGGGTTGTGGTCATCCCCTTCTTGGTGTTTCTCCAACCCCTCCGTTTTAAAGGGCGCAAGTGAAGGCCGTCCCTGCCACGTACCTGGACCTGGGTAGACTTGAATCCATTTCATTAGGAGCCCCTGGGGAATTTGCTCCAAACAGCCATCCGAGCCACCGTTCTTTCCCACTTTCAGCCTCAGAATTCTCCTCCCGTGTTTCTTCCAGATAGACTTCTCCTGCCTCAGGGGTAGCCACTCCCGGCTTCGGGATCGCTGCAGCCAAGCCTTCCCCCTTGCAGACCGATGGCTGTTTTTCTGTCTCGGAGTTATTTTTCCCAGGGATGGGCCGTTGGGGGCGTCCTTCTGGCTCGGCACCGGCGTCTCCGGCCGCGGCTCGGCTCTCTTTGACGGCCTCCCCCAGAGCCATCCGTAGCTTGGTCCACTGTGAGCGGAGGGGAGCGTCCTCTTTGGGGTCCAAAACCTGGATGCTGGAAATCCACCCCAGCGGCTTCCACCAGCCCGGCGGCTTGTCTTGGGTTTCGTCCCGGCTGGGCTGGGCACGGGGCTGCCGCTGGGGTGGGCTTCCATGGCCACGCAGCGTGCCAGTGACCCGATCTTTCCACTCCAGCAGCCTTTGAGGCAAAGGCAGTGTCTGCCAGGGGCTGGATGGAGCCCCAAAGCCCAGATCGGCCAAAGACATCTGGGGCTTGGATGAATCCACCGGGGTCAGCCCGGGCCCTTCCCAGGGGCTGGCACCCGGCTCAGGAGAGGGGTTGCTTTGCGGAGCCATCGGCCGGACGTTGAGGGGCAGGTGACGGTGCTCAAACAGCAGGTCCAGCTGAAAGGTGAGCACCGAAAGGGGCTGCAGCAGGAGAAGTAGTTCCTCAGCCCAGCGTCGGCAGAACCTCTGGCTGATAAGCAGGAAAGCGGTGGGCAGGTAGAGGGCGGAGATCAGCTCTGTTTTGGCAGGGGGGGAATGGCACAAACTGGTCAGAAACCCGAGCAGAGAAGGGCGTCCTAAACTGGGACGGTAAGATGATTCGGGGAGAAAGCAGGCGGGATAAAAACCGCTGAACAGGGCAACTGGGTGTTTTTATTGGAATCAAGTTTCTAGTCCTTAGGGAGGCCAGGAGCCTCTCTAAGAGGGGATGGGCCAAGCTGGCTGGGCCAAAGGAAGTAGAGAGGTAAGATTTTCAGGGACTGGGGAAATTGGGAAAGGAGAGCCTTGAGTATTAAACTGGCAAATAATAATAATGGCTTTGTGGCCATAAAATAATAAGAATAAGAATAATACAACATCTGGAGCACCCCTTGAACACCACTGGCATTGAGAAAACCACCATCAGCCCATTGCGAAAAGCAGCTTTGCTTGGAACCGTTCAGATCCTGCGATGATCCCTTGAACCCCATCCAGCAACATCTGTCTATCTTGGGAAGGCCTCGATCGGTGGGTCGAAATGCCAAATCCAGGCTAAACATCTGGCTGACTGGGCGACCAACCCGAATAATAACAGTGACCCCAACCCCATTCCAAGCTGCTTCGAGTCAGACTGCAGCGGCCCAGTGAAGAGTCCTGCTAATAAATGAATAAATGCCAAAGGAAGAGGTACCGAGGGTGCAATTCCACCCACTGAATGGATCCGGCTCTCGCCAAAGCGAAAAGTTTTTTTTTTTGAGGCAGAACTCCGCGTCCAGACCTAAGAAGCCGCCATAAGCCAGATCAGCCCACTTTAAAAATCTTAGCCCGGTATTAGCTACTGGAATAAGAAGCAACTCGGAAGATTTAGAAAAAGGAAAAAAAATTAAAATGTTGGTTCTTCGTTCTTCTGTTTAATGAGACTGAAAGCTTCCTGGCCCAAGAGGGGATTTTGCTTCCAAGCCACGTCCCTCGAAGGCAGTTTTCTCAAAACGTGGTCCGAGGACCGCTGGGGGCTCCCCGAGACCCTCTCAGCGAAACCAGAATGATTTCCCAGCTTATCTTGGAAAATAACCCAGTATTAAAATCCTATCTGATAACCGTGAAAAGCCGTTGTAGCAGCAAGGGGGTCCGCTTCATTTTTCATGCGGTAAATATGGATAAATAGCACCCCTACAGACAAAAGTGTTGGGGGTCTTCCATAATGTTAAAAAGGGGGAAGGGGTCCTGAGAGAGAGAAACATTAAGAAACCCTGCTCTAAGGCAAACGTTTGGGGCGTGACCGGGACTTCGGAGACGGTGAAGTGAGAATTCAGCCCAGCACCCCCTTTCTGGGAAAGGGGGTCTCCCCAACCCCAAATTACCTGAATTGTTTTGCAGCTGTGCAAACCACTCTTCCACTTGCTTCAGGCTAAGGGAGGAGAGAAAAGGGGAGATTTTAGCCCGACGCCCCGATCCCCAAACCTCCTCAAAGCCAGTGCCGTGTTCAGATGGGTGAGCCCATAGCTTGGGGGCCACGTGGCACCCCAAGTCTCTTTCAACATCCCGCCCTCGTTGTCTGTCTGCTGCCATTTAGTAGCATCAGCATCACTGATTGCACGGATGCCCCCCGCACATCCCAGCGGCGCTGGGCGCTTTACAGTGAAAAGTGTTTAAAAACCAGGAAACCACCCAGCCGAGATGGCAGAGATAGCAAACCCCAATGGGAAGAAAGAAAACCAAAAAAAGGGGGACATGGGACCCCCGAGGCAGTTTCTTGCCCTGATTCCGGCTAGAACAGCCCCGATGTGCGCGTAGGCTATGCGCCAACAGAGTTCCCTCCTTGCATTCTCCTTTTGGCACACATTTGTCTTCGTTTCCAGCCCCCTTCTTTTTCATCCTCCCTTTTCCTGCCCCCCTGCCCCCTCCCTTTTCCTGCACACACCCGCCCCCCCAATAAGAGAGACAGGCCACTGTTGTCCCAAACAGGAGCTGCAGCTGGCTTCTGCAACGAAGCTCCCCGTCTCCAAAGATTGCCAGATCTTTCCCTCCAGCTCCGTTCCTCCGCCTTACACGCCGACTCACTTCAGGAGGCCCAGGATGAAAGCGTGGAAACGTTGGTGGTTGCTCCGGAGCGGGGCCAGCCGAGACACCCGCCAGTACAGCTCGGTGAAGGATCGGGTGTGGGGACCTGGAAATTAAAAAGCGCTTTGCAACACCGTTTTTTAGCTTCCGGTAAGTCTCAGGCTGGAAAGGCGTCCTTGGGTGTGAATGAGGTCTTGTGTGAACCCAAACAACTGTGGTTTGGCCCAATATGGGAACCCAGGGGGGAAATTTTCCCAGAATCTAATTTTTAAAAGGAGAAGCCCTAGAATGAAAACTACGCATTCTAAGCTTCTAGTCCTCAAGACTGGGAAGAGTGCTTCGAGGCTGTTTAGAGGAGCCCCTCCACAGGCTTAAAGGGTTTGCTGAATTAAACCGTTTTCTGGGTTTGAATCCTAGACAAATGAACTGGCTGGGTTTCCGCCCCATTCTAAGCTGCCCGCCCCACTCCCAGATTAACCAAGATTAAAGCCGACAAATTAACCAAGATGAAAGACAACCCGCTTGGCCTTGAATGGTTCTGGCTGAGTTTGTGGTGCAACTCCCACCCTCAAGGGATGGAAATTCAAGCCATTCTGCCAAAAAGTCTCCTGGTCTTAAGTTTGCACAAGCTTAGCCTAATTGCGCAAATGTAGATTCAGGGTATGGGCAAAAGTTATTTTATGTCGCTGTGGAGCATTCACCTGAGCTGCCCAGCGTGGCGTTCTTTTGCTGCAGAATGGAAACGGAATGGAAGTAGTCTTCTCCAACACACTCACACCCACACCCACCCCACAATCCTGCACTGCTTCTCTACCCCCCATCGCCAACCCCACCTACCAGGCCGGGCAGAGGCTTCGATGACGCTCCAAGGAGAACTGGGCCTGTGTCCCGTGATGACGTCCTTCTGGAAAGGCTTCAGGCTGTCACCCACCAGGGCATGCAAGGCGGGGCAGAGGGTATTGAGGACCAAATACCCCACTTCTGGGGTGAGTTGACTGTCTCCCAGCTGAGCCTGCGCAGGGCACAAAGGACTAGGCCAGCCGTTGGCAGCTGGGGAAGAACAAAATTGCCCGCCCGCCCTTTGCTAATTGGTAATTACCATTTCCTAATTAACCCCCCCTGCCCAACTCCTTAACCAGGGAGGAAAATAAAAGCAGGGAGACTGTCCTTCCCTGGCTTCCATCCAGGCAGCCAAAACAGAGCAACCGAAATGCCAATGTGCGGGTATGCCCAAAGGAAATGTTTCCAAGGGAGACGTTCTTGTGCCCGATGTCAAATTCCCCCTCTGTTGTGCATAATTGTGCGGCTGAATCACACCGCCCAAGATTGGCTTGAACCCAACATCCAGCTGGTTGAACGGATGGAAAGCCCCCCTCTTGACGTCCCCAGGCTACTTTTTCAGCTTAGCCTACTTCGCAGGGCGGTTGTGCAGATCAACTGGGGAGGGGGGCACGCGGGAGGATCGAAAGGTGGCGCGAGAACCCGGCGCGCCAAACCGACCTTTTGGACGAGGTTCCTTGCGCTGCTGAAATGAGCCACGATTTTATCCACCGAGGCACTGACTGCCATAAGCAATGCTAAAAAGAAGCAAAGGGGGGAAGGTTGGAGGGGGAAATAGGATTTCAGAGAAACTTGGCGTTGTTTTCCCCGCTCACTTTAACTCCCGTGGCATCTGGACCAGAAATGTCCTTTTAGCACAGACACCCCCACCAAACTAGAGCACCTCACCTTGTGGTGGTGAATTCCACAGGTTAATAAAAAAAAAAAAGCATAATTCCAGTTTAAGTTCTATGCAAGGTATTCAGAGCTCCCCCTGGTGGCCAGCTGTGAGCTGTTCCCCCATCGCTCTGAGCTCCCCCTGGTGGCCGAAGCGGGGATTTCCCCTTCCTAGAGAGGGGCCACTCAAATCAGGCCCTGCTCCTTCCTGGCATTAAAGGCATTTTCTTTCAGCCTCGCCTAATCAGAAGGGGATTGCAAAATTAAAACGCAGGAGGGAAGAGAAACTTCCAGATTTTTGGAGGAAGAAGCCCAGCTAATAAAAATAATTTGGAGGGATACGAGCAGGATTCTTCTCCAAGCCCTCCCAGGGATCCCTGCAAATACAAAATCTCTCTCTTTTAATTCAATTAATGAAAAGGGCAACGAGGACTGGCAGTTGCCATAGAAACAAAAGCTGTCTGGGTGGGCGTCGGGAAGGACTCCCAGGTATTAAAAATGCTCAAACAGCTTGGCTAGGCTGCTTTTTCGTCTGTCTCTCATGCAGGTAGGGTTAAGACCAAGACAATTTTTTGGAAATTGTATGTGTGCAGTTTTAAAGTTCAACCGCTCAGAAGGGGCGGGGGGAATCATTTTCCTTGCAAGTAGAAATCTAGCCTCTAACAGAGGCAAGCTCACCCTGTCTCTGCACGGCAGACCTATATAAACATGGGCCCCAAAAAGTGAGACCTGGGTGATTTGGAAGAAGGAGGAGGAGGAGGAGGAGGAGGAGGAGGAGGAGGAGGAAGAAGGAGAAGAAGGAGAAGAAGGAGAGGGAGAGGAGGAGGAGGAGAGGAAGAAGGGGAGGAGGAGGAGGAGGAGAGGAAGAAAGAAGAAGGAGAAGGAGAAGAAGGAGAGGGAGAGGGAGAAGAGGAGGAGGAGGAGAGGAAGAGAGAAGAAGGAGAAGAAGGAGAGGGAGAGGGAGAAGAGGAGGAGGAGAGGAAGAGAGAAGAAGAGGAGGAAGAGGAAGAAAGAAGAAGGAGAGGGAGAGGGAGAAAAGGAGGAGGAGGAGGAGAGGAAGAGGAGGAGGAGGAAGAAAGAAGAAGGAGAGGGAGAGGGAGAAAAGGAGGAGGAGGAGGAGGAGGAGGAGGAGCCAGCCCTACCAGGAAATTAACTCCACAGGAAAGCTAAAACTACTTTTACTGAGATGGGCTCTAAGGATCAAATCTCGCAGGCTTGATCGCGCTGGGCCTCGTCCCCCTTCTTATACTCCTGTGAATGAGGGAGGTGTCTGCCTGAACCACTTCCAAATGTAATCTGGTTGCTCTGGACCTAAAAACGCTTGCCTAGAAAACAGATCCTGCATATTTCTATCAAGGTCCTCTTCATCATCATCATGTGTTATTATTGTGATTGCTCTTTCTCTCTTTCTCTCTTTCTCTCTCTCTCTCTCTCTCTCTTTAGCTATCCTATCTATCTATCTATCTATCTATCTATCTATCTATCTATCTATCTATCTATGAACTTACCTTTTTTCTTTTCTTTTTTAATATTTTCTTGAGCTTTTAAAATGACAAAGTTAAAAGTTAGAAATGAAAAAGAAAATTGAAAATACGAATTATCAAGAAAAGGAAAAGGAAAAGTGAGATAAAGTAAAAGAAAAAGAAAAACAATAGGAACAATAGATAACTTCCAATCTCTCTCTGGTCTTAGGAATAATAAGGCTATGCTAAGTGCTAGTTTTTAATCCATTAAATAGGAGTAATTCTTTGTCAAGACATATCCCATTACATTTATAATCTGATCTTCAAATCCCCACGTGAGCTTCGCCCCACCTGCATTTTGCAAATAGTCCGTCAATGGTTTCCATTCTTTAAGGTAATAGTTATTTGAGTTTTCTTTTCATAAGCAGATCTTACCCTTTTTCTGTTGCCGAAGCTGGGTAGAAACTTGGCCCGCCTCTGTCCTCCACGGGCGCCCTTGCAATGGGACTCCGCCAAAGGACTGAGAATGTCGAACTACAGTGGGGGGGAAAAAAGTAGAGAAAAACGGGGATGAACCTGCATTCCTAGGCAGACGTGCTCCTCTGGGGGCATTGGAATATGCCATATGACTGATTGATTGATTGATTGATTGATTGATTGATTGAGCGATCCCCCGCCCCCACCCCGCCCCTCCCTATTTCTTCATCTCAGGATAAGGCTCTTAGCGGTCTTGGCCTTCTCCTCTTTGTTTCTTTTTAAACCTTCGCCAGATCCATAGAAGAGGAAGATGGAGGTTAAGTCTAGCGTGGCTTTGCTCGCCTAGGCAATCCAGGTTCATTCCAGGTGACTTCCCCAAGGCAAACCCTGAGCCCAAAGAATGGCCCTGTGCAATTGCTCAGTGAAATGCAACGCCATGCCGATGTTTTAAATATTGCCCTGGGGGTGGGGGGCAAGGATAAGCATTTCAAAAGCTCAGGAGTTTACCTGGGTGGGTTTTTACGATGTCAATGGATTAAATCGGGGATAAAGTAATTTTTACTTTCTTGCCACACACCACCCCCCCATTTCTGGCCTGGCTTCTTCCGCTTTTGGAGTTGCTTCCCCCCTCAAAATGATCGACCCCCCCCTTGGGGAAGGGCCAAAGCAGGGCAGGGCCACCGAAAGGGGGCATTGAGAAAGGGGATGGCTTACGTTGCTGGGGGGCTCCTGAATCCTTGGCTGGCATGGTGTCCCGGGACACTCTCCCCCAGGGACCCCTTCCAACCTGGTTTCCCCGGGGATCTCGGGCTCCAAGTGACAGCTCGGGCACCTGGTGGGTGGGAAAAGCTAAGATGGGGAAGGTTTTGCTGGAGGGGAAGAAGGGGGAAAACAGCACGGCCAGATCGGGGCTGTTGAGGAAGGGGAGGATGCTTCTAGCCGGAGGGGAGTACGCCCCGATGGGCGAGAGGCGGACGGGGAGCAGCTCGTCTGGGGACAGCGCGTCGAAAGGGGGCCCCTGCCCGCCGGCCAGCAAGCAGACGTCTTCGCAGGACAGGGTCTTCAGCCGTGGGCAAAAGGCCAGACCGGAGGG